CCTCTTCTCTATACATATCTCTCTGTTCTACTACATCCATTGTTAGCCTGTTCATTCCAGTAATAATGCCAGAACCTTCCAATTGGGCAAAGAGGTAATGCACTAATGAGAGAAGCATGCTATCTAGCTGACATGTAACATTTATACTAGTGATAAAAAGTAGAAACAAATGTCTTAAATGCAATCACCTCTGTGAAATCTTGATTTGAGATGGTATCAATTGATACAATCTCGGTCTTGTCTAGATTTAAGATTTCCACCATAGTGTCAGTGCTCTTTTTGCCAATTTTGTAAGGTTCTGCTGCTTTGCTTGTGCCTGCAAATAAAATATCAGAAAGGTACCTTGACTTCAGTTACGTGCACACATATACACACACACACACACAACATATTAAACAATAGAAGGAACGAACGAAAATGGAGGTGGGAGAACGGCCATCTGGAGAAGTACCATAAAAGTCTATCAATGAATGAGAATTTCAATATGGAATTTTTGTAAGTGCTTTATTAGCATGGTGAAAATGTTTCACCAAAATTTATTTTGATGCCAATCGAAATAAAATATAAAAGTAAACCAAATAATTAAAAGGCCTCTATTGCAAAGGTCCATATAAAAGTAAACCAAATAATTAATTTATTAATATTTTATTTATTTATTTATTTTTATTTTTTTTAAGAAATAGGGACTTCAAAAGTACATTTCAATGGGTTACCCGAGATCATGTTACTTATAGTCAGCCTTAAAAGGGATAACATAATTCTAACCATTCATAAAATAATATGAAACTTCTTACCTACAACTTGAACTAATCTATACAAATCTTGTTTTTGGTTACTTCCAGAAATCCTTATTCGTACAAAAGTTCCAATGACTTTATCATGAAACATTTCAGCGTCTTCAAGTAGGTCTTCCATCAACTTTCTTCGCAGGTAAATTAAACCAATGTTGTGCATGTCAATAGCTGCATAATCATCAAGATTAGACTGAGGCCCCCGATCACCTTTCTTGCGTGATTTGCGTTTCCTATCTTTACTGCCCTTGGCCTGAGGGTCACCATTTCCATCATCATCCAACTGGTTATTCTCAGTGTCGACAACACTTCCTTGAAAATCATCATTATGCTCATCTCTTACAAGAAAATGAGACTCCAGAAGTTTTAACATCTCAAAATGTGCAACTCTAGGCTTCCCGAATAAATTCGTAAGCCTTGCATCACACATGATTTGACTTTTCCGGCGAGGATCACGAAGCTTGTTTCTCTTGATATACTCGAGCAAAAGAGCTTGCACATCAAACTGTGACAGTAAAGATGTATCACCATCTTTCATGTGTGAAACAAATTCAAGTAGCTCTTTTGATGCCCATTCAGAGTTGTGAACACCAGTGCTAACTATATCCTCTTCTCTGGAAAGGGACTTCCGTTGTTTCCTGGTCTTTCTTCTTTTAGGCCTAATAGTTTCTCTGTTTTCAATTGAATCATCTGAACCAGATCCTCCATCATTAGCATCAGCACGAGCGTCAGATAATTCCTGTTTGCTGGAACCAGACAACACATCTGCCCCCTTCCATGGATTTTTTGCCTCTGCAATTTCATCTAACGAAAGTGACAGCTTTGATTTTAATTCTATGTAATAATCCTTGAAGAGGTACTCCCAGCTGTTTCTGTCATCAAAATCTACTTGAGCCTGCACCAGTCGATAAAGCAGCCAGAAAACAATCAGAACACACCACTTGGATAAAAAGAACACACCACTTGGGTAAAAAGATAGAAGGCTAGAAGAACACTTGGTTAATTTATGGTTTATCTAGCAACCATATGTCAAAGATGTGAAAATGACTAGTGGAATAGGTATGGATTCGAAAAGTTGAGCAAGGGACATGATATCTGTTCCGCCAGAAGCAAAAATATTAAATCACTATTAAATTTCAACCACAAAATTAAGTTAGAGCAATCAGATAACTGCATGTTTAAGGGTTATCAAATCAAGTTACAAACGACAAGAAAAACGTGGAGGGATGGAGCAAAATTGCAGAAGCACATACCTCTCGGCTTCCCTGTTCCTTGTTCTCAATTAGCCTAACTGTCCTCATGCAGGTCTGGCAAAAACCTTTATTTCCCCGGACACATAGGATAATTGCATCTTTCGTGCAACTTTTACACAATGAAAAAGTACATGTGTAGCACATGTAGCGGGCATTCTTCTCACAAATGCTACACAAGTGCCAACCTGGAAACAAGATATGAATCAGAGTCATATGGATACAAATTTATTTTGTAGACCCACCAAACAGCTGATAGAAGTAAATTACACAACACTGGACCCAAAGATGAGCCATAAAAAACAGACTTAAGCTGATTGATGTACTTCAAATTTTCCAAGACAGGTATATATCACTTGAACCAACTAGGAGCCATAAGGAAACAGATTTAAGTTGCTTGCTAGCTAACATGGCTATTACGTCAAAATAAAGTTCCATATCCTAGCCAATCTTGAGTAATGTTCTAACAGACATGCGATAGCACATCCTTCCGCTTAAGAATCGCCTGGCAGACATTTTCTGACACAACACAAGCCTAGAACATTATGAACAGAGTAAGCTTAGGTTGGGGTTTGAACAGTTTCAGTACAACTCGTGTCCGATCAGAATTAACTGACAAAATATCCGCTCCAGTCAGCATTACGCAACCCAAGTTAACTCGTTCTTGTAGTTGGCGTGTTGAATTTACGAACATTACATATCAAATAGGCTGTTTGTATCATGATTGAAAAGTGAAAGCGTTTTCCACTTTATCGAACTATAATTTTCAGGTTATGAAGCAGATGAGCAATTAAATGCGTTAACATATACAATTATACAGGTCATCCCGATTCCTCTGAAAACACGAGGGGAGGGGGAACGAAACTGAGATCATTAAATAAATGGGTCCAGGTGGCGAATTGGGCAAGGTGATACCAATTTAGAGTAGATAAGTGTTCGTAAATAAAGTTATATCATTAAGAACTTATAAAAATTGACTATTGTAAAAATAAATCATGAACTAATGCAATTCTAAAGTCAAATATTTTCATATAAGTGATAATTTTGTTAAAATTTCAGAGCAATCAAGGAAAAATTAATTCAAAGACATAATCGGGAAATAGTTGCTGGCTAGGGACTTATAAATCAAATGGGCACCTCTATGCTTCTCAAAATCCAAGCCTCCTCAACACCCTCATTGCAACCACATATACAACTCATTGTTAAGGAACAAAATAAAACGTTAGAGGTTAGTAACATATACACCTACATAAGAAAGCCGGTAAAGAACTTAAAAGTATCTACAAGCCATGATCAAATGATAGATGTTCTTTTTGCTGTTATAACGAAACACATACCGCAGTTCCAGCGGCCCTTGGATTTAAAAAACGCCTCATCTCTGTTGACGCATGATGGATGATATGCCTTCGGGCAACCTCTGAGAACCAAAACAGAAAATCAATGGTCAATAAGTAGTCATATGAAGACAAATGATTCTGAATACATTTTCGGTCAAATTAAAAAAACACAATTCATTTCCGTTATCATCTCAAGAAAACAAAATTACCTCCGGTCACACAGCACAAGTTCCCCCCCATCAAAGCATATGAAACAAACATCCTCTCCCACAGTCTTCCTTGATGAAGCTTTTGTAGTTCCCTTAGGAGTTGATAATGAATTTTTCGACGATTTTGCCCTCTTTCGCTTCCCTCCAGATGCTTTCCCTGAGTCAGCAATATTGGCTTCGGTCTCCATTTCCGTGTCCTGTGTTCCAGTCTCCTCTTCTACAGCCATTGCTTCATCTTCCTCCTCATCGAGAGCAGCTGGGGAATCATAAAGGTCGGGACCAGGCTCATCGGCATCACTATTTGTTTCCTCTGTTTCCATCTTGCCATCCTCATCTGAGGTTCTATCAGCCAACTCGTCTGTTCCCTTTTCAGTTCCGAATTCAGCATCGTCCAACTGTTTATCATCTGCCACATCATTCCTTGGCAACTCTAACTCCTCTCCCATCTCTGTTTCTTCTTTCCCATCCACTTCAGGAAGATTCTTTCTTACTACTGCATCTTCATTTTCTGTCATGTCAACCCCCGATACCTCTACAGTCATGCTCTCATCCACCATCGTAGTCCCAGATGCCAAATTCTCCTCAGCATGATCAAGTTCTTCATCATGATTATTCAAATGGTGGCTTGATTCAGGAATCTGCTCTTGTTCGCTTGTAACAACTACACGTGCATTTAACTCAGTTTTTATTTCCACATCCGTTTCACGACCAGTGACTGGTGTTTCCTCAAGAGTCACAGAGTCAACTTTTTCATCTTCAAAGATTGCTGGTTTTTCAATAGTTTCAACTTCTGAATCATTCACCGAATCAGCGACCTTCTCCTTCTCCTCATCGACTTTATCACCCTCCACCACTGCCTCTACCTTATTCTCTACCTCACAACTATCAGCCATCAGACAAGTCACTCCTGCTGCTTCATTTTCCTTTCCATCGGTCACGTGCTCCTCAGATTTAATAACCAAAACCTCCATTCCTTCAAAACCCACCTGCAAATCATCTTTTCTTGCATCCATTTGGAACTCAGTTATCTGTTTCGTATTACCTGCCTCAGTATCTGCTTCCCCCACATTGGGTTCAACTAGTGAGGATAAATCTTGGTCAGCTTTCACTTCAACAAGAAGGTCCACCGGCATTTCATCCCCTACGGCATCATCAATCTGAGGATTGGAATCGGTAAGAACCACTTTCTTATCCATTTCTGATTCAGGTTCTCCCCCGGCTTCCGTTCCGCCTGCCTGATCCTCACATGGGGTGGCATCCATTTCAGTGACACCTTCCCCGTCTGCCTGGGCACCCACCACGTGGGAAGCAACCACCGGTAATGGAGTTTCAATGACAACATCTCCCCCGTCCACATCATTAATTTCTGGCGGCTGATCTTCGCTTTGGAGAGCAACCACTCCACCGCCACCCTCCTCCACCGCCGCCGTCTCCACCACCGGCGGCAGTTCATGCATCTCCGCCACAGTATCCTCAACGAACTCCGTCTCCCCCTCCGCCGCATGGTTCTCCGGAAGACCTCCTCCTTCGGCCTCCGCTCTTTCTCCGCCAGCACTTGAACCCGAATGGCCCGATTCCGGAGTCGACTCGCGTTTCTCGGCGCCTACGGCCGCCAGAGCATCGGCTGTCACCTCCTCCATTTCCGACGGTTTATTCACGCCCGCCACAGAATCTTCATCGCCCGCCATGGGCATCCCAATTATCGTATTCCCTTTCTTCAAAACCCTAACCCTAATCCTTTATCTGTACAACGCCTACACATGTAGAGATAGATGAGTCTGTGCAAACTTGCGAGAAATCTAAACGAGGGTTTTGGAGATGAGAGAGATCTACGGATTTCAGTTATTGCAATTTCCTTTTTATTTTTATTTTATTTTAATTTTCTCTCTTTAAATGCTTTCTTGTTTCTTTGGGAGTGATAAAAAATGGTTCTGTTCTGTTGCAAATGAATGACTAAAAAGGAAGATCATTACTAACTCCCACAACCACATGGGCCTATACATGTTATTTTCAGAGCCCACTATAATGTTCCAATTTAGTTTCCACTATTTGGGCTGAAAACTCCTGCCTTGAAATTCAACAAGACTTAGAAGGGTGTTTGGTAGACTTCCGACCGGCTGAAAACGATTGTAAATGACTAGATCCCAAGTTCGAACATCGGTTGAATGCCTCCGAACATGCAGAACTCTGATACCAGAGGAAGTTTTTGGTGAATAGCCTCCAAAACTTAAGGTAGACTTAAAAAAGATAAAGTGCAGTACATGAGTGTATAATAGTGAATGTAACCTTAGAATTGCACATCCTACTCCTATTTATAGGAGTGTGTTACCTGCTTTTTAGAAGGCTGTCCGGATATATGATGAGTTGGTTGTCCTAGTAGCCCGTACTACTCCAAACAATTACGAGGATATACCAATCAAATGATATTGCGCGTCCTAACACATGTGCATCATTAATAATATGATTTTTCCTTATTCTTTGAAATTTTTCATTAGGCACTTATCCCCGATTACCTCGAGGTAGAGTATCGTGAATATCGAGTTCGCCGTTACAACCATCTAGTCGATCCTTCGACCAGGTGTTATTTCAGGTCAACCTTCCCCAGGCCCTCCATGGGCTCCCACTCGACTTGCAGGTATCCTTTACGCCACCCATGCAAGGATTCTTCTAGCTAGGGACTCTTCATTCCTCGATCAACCTGATGGGCCCCGCGAGCTCGGTTTGCATGAAGATCGGGCCTCGAGACAATCTCCCTGCCCGCCGCGTGGTCGATTCCCAGACCAGTTTCATAATGTTTATGTATAACATACAAATCAAAATGTTACAAAGAAAATATGATATACTTATTATAAACATAGGTTAACAATTATATAGTTTGAGAATTTGTTTTTCTATTATCCAGTTAATAGAACACATATAAACTAAAATTTTAGCCTTTTTTTTGTTTACTTTCATTGGCCGATGTAAGTAATTTGAATCAAAGATTCATAACGAGAGTTATATGAAGTTTGAATGTAAAAACCAAAAAATATGCAAATCATATCACAATATTAAACTGAATACTAAAAAATAAAATCATTTGTAGCCATGTACTATACATAAACAGTATCTAAACAATGATGCAGTTATCGTTGACGATAAAAAATAGTAATAAAATACATACATTATCTGACTAATCAATTTCTCTCTTCTACCTCGCCGTCCAATTATGATAATAGGAACTCCGATGTTGGCTTATACTCCTTTGTTGTTCCAAAGCTGCTCCCCGAGCTCGATATCCAACGGTGGTGGGGACGCCTAACGCCGCCTCCGCGACTCCAGATGCATCCTCGGGTACCAACAACTCTACAACTACCACACAATGTGCTTCGCACAGCTCCACAAAGCGATCGAGGAGGTCAATGACCTCCACCGCGAGAATGACGAGCTTCACCTCTCAAATGCCGATATTTGTCGCTGCCTCGCCCTACTCCTATCTCATGATTGGCTTCTATTGTAGTTGTGCTTGCCTCAATCTCGCCTACCCTCCGACCCTTGCTCCGCATACTCGTTGTTTCTCCTCAACTCAAATCTATGATTACTTAACAAATAGGTTTGATAGGAGGAACACCGAGCGGGTCTCTTTTCCCAAGAGCATTTAAATACGTTCCAAAGGCTATCTAAAGATGACACGGACGAATCGATGAGCCTGGGATGGGAGGAATTCAGAGGCGGCACCGCCCGAGGCCGTCTTGTCGGCGGCTGTTTGAATGAAGGAGAAGGATGATGACCGGGGCAGTTTAAATGAAGTATTAGACCGAGACTATTTGAATTACGGGTGATAATTTTTATCCAAAAATTGAAAAGCCGAACAGTACCGAACCAACATATAACAAAAGAACTAACCGAAACAATTTTTTCGATTACCGAAGGTCGATAACCGAAAATGGTTTTCGGTTTGGTTTCGGTGTTGGAACATACATGGTTAGGTGAATAACTATCAAATAAGATCAAATCAAATATGATAAAAAATATTATTATATTAAATAATTTTACTAATGTTTGCAATAATTATTTTGATATCCATTATAATATATTACAAGATTGATTTTCGGTGATTCATGATTCATGTTAATATTTTTGTCAAGATAGATATTACAATATATTTAAGTTCTAACCATAATATTTTTTTTTTCACAAATACTCACTTTCTTATAAAATAATTATAGAAAATCATAACAGGTTAGGTAGAATTTTTTCTTCCACTTAATCAGGCGAAATAAAGTTGGTCAATTAATTTTTGCCAATATAATTTTTTTCTTAATCTTTATTTAGTTATAAAAATAAATTATTCATCAAAAATTAATATAATTTACCATTTAAGAAATAATTACCATACAAGTTAAATAATTTTACTAATGATAAAAAAAATTTAAATTGAAATATAGTAAATGTTCCTTAAGAACTTATTTGTATATTATTGGCAACCATTATTAACTTTTTTTTCCTATCATTTTTTTTTTATTTTGATTTCTTTCTATAATGAAATTCTTGCAAAATATATTTTCATTGTATATTATGATAAATAAACTAAAAATCCTTATAATGCAAATTAGTAAATCTTGATTATAGAAGAAACTGTGTTTTTTACATTTGCTAAATCTAATTGTTTAATTAGTATACATAATTAAATTCTAGACATGTGTGTATATTTTGTAAAATATTTATATACTGTTTAATTTAAAACTAGTAATCACCCGTGCGATGCACGAGAAAATTATAATTTATATGCTTTTTAGAAGACAATTTTGTTTATAAATTGGGTAATAATGCAATGATCATAAGATTAGACATCTAAACATATAATTAAACTGAAAAAATCATATATTATTGAACACTTCTCTATATACAACATTATTGGTTTGATTCTTTGGCAGATCATTTTACCCACAAATAAACATTTTCAAATCTTTTCGATTAGTGACACGGAAGACAACAATATATAACTGATATGTAGTGATATATAACAATAAATTAAACGTGGGTTTGTTAGGATTATTTATGTTATGATTATTTCTAATTATATCAATTATGATTATCTTATAATATTATCAAAATTTGTTATGATTATCCTCTTAAAGTTTGTTATGATTATTTATATTGAACATATTGATTGTTTACTACTATTTGCATTATGATTGTTTCGGATCAAAATATTATCCCATAATGTTAACAAAATTAAAAAAAAAAAGGAATTGGATATGAAATTTTTTTTGAACTATTTTATAATATAAAAAAATTGAATTATTTTAAGTTTTCGTTAAACAGGTTATCTTTTATTAAAATTAATTTTGTTACCAAAAATTAAAGTAATGCGTTTGGATTATTTCTAGAACTACATTACGAAATCTATAGTAGTAATCAAATTTAATAAAAGTAGTTAAATTGAGACTTAGAGCTCTAAATTGATTAATTTTTTCGCACTTAGTTGATGTGCTTAATATATGCCCTACGATATGATTGCACGTGTGACACCTATATATGACTGTATTGCATATAATTTTGTACATTGTATTTACATATTTTTTAATTTAATGAATTTTACGAAACTAATAAAACATCAATTGAATAATTAATAATAAAATTGAAATAACTAAAACAGCAATATGTATATATATATATGCTGCCGTTTATTCATAAATTATCCCAAATAAGGAACATAAGTCTAAACAATAAAAGATCGACAACAATAAATGCTGCAATCTTGGAAATAAAAATCACCTACGAAAACATAAGCAAACGTCCAAATGCCAATACTTAAACCACTGGAAATCAACCTAAATTATAATAATAATATAATAAATAACGTAGAAGCCTCAACAGCCGATCTAAGACATCCACCTTCGCCTTTCCTTTATCATTGGAAGCATTCACCTTCGACTTCGCTTTATCAGTTGAATCTGATTGTGCTGTCAAGGCCAAAACAACTTCACTTGAATTGTTTAGTTCCTCCCAAAGGTTGCGTTTTGCCGTAGAATTTTCAGAAACAACCTCTTTTTCAAGAGCCACTTTCAAAGGAGTGATAACTTCATCAGCATCATCCTAACAAAAAATTTAAATTAATAAACCAATATACAAATGTTTTGTTATTTACAACAAATAAAATTATAAAATATAACCCATTACCTCTCTATCGTCTTGTTCCCTCATGAGCAAAGTCATAAAGTCCAGATTCCTATGAATATAGGAATACAATAAATTAGTGATTAAAAAAATTAATTATATAATTTTTCTACAATTGAATAAGAAAAATAAATTAGTGAAATAAAATAATCCATACGGTATGCTCAACAACCCACTGGTTGTATTTGGAGATCAACTTATCATCATCAACCAATCTAACAATAGAAAATGAAGTATAGCCGAAACGTTGCTTGGCTTGGATTCGAACTTTGAAAAGAAACGTTTTACCAACCACTTCCTCGATCTCATCGGGCAGCTCATATGAAATCTTTTTCTATAATGCATAAAAATTTCGGTTAAAATAATAATATAAAAATAAATTTAATTATATTTATTGTTTTGGAATAAAAAATTATTTAGATATATTACCCTATCAGTAATCGCACGCCTAAGTGCATCACAACTGATACCAAGTAGCTTTTCGCAATCTCTATCCAACCAATTAATGTAGCATCCGCACTTGCAT